GACTTTGTTACAAGAAAATATAAAATTTTCTTGGAACGTCTGTTTTTTGTGTTGGCAAAAGGATCAGCGGAAAGAGTAGTCATCATATAATTATTGTATCTTTTATTTATAAAATCTTATTTTTAAATAAATTTCCTAATTTAGAAATATATAAATAATTATTATAATTTTTAAAAATTATTTATGTATTTTTTTTATATAACAATTTTTTAAATCTTTTTATATAGAAAAAATAATAAAACAATATATATTGTAAATTATTTTTTTTCAATTCTATATTACTTATTTGATTTTTGATATTAGTAAAATCAAAAATTTATTTTTAAATATATTAACTTTTTGATTTTTTAAAATTATTACGTATATCAAAAATATATATAGGCTTGAAGATATAGGAATTGACATATTAACTCTTTTCTTAAATAGAATCTTTTTATAAAGAATAGATACAAGAACACAGTAGTAAGTTTTTTTTTATAAATGGAAACTTATTTTAATAATTATTTGGATATATACAAACTTCTTTCTAATTCAATTTTGGTTTTTATTAATTACTATTAATAATTAACATTTAATAATTAATAATATTTACCAGAAGGAAATTATTTGATCTGTGATAATCAAAAGTGTCACAATAAAGTGCAGAAGAGTTCAATCATTTGCACCGAAACACCAATTTATTTCAAGATCAAATATGACAACTGTCGAGAAGCCTGAAAATGCGCCCGAGCACTGTCCGGTAATTATCACAGTTCTCTTTTCATAAAGAGGTTCTCCTTTCTAAATAGATCTTTTTTGCATACCAACATATACTAGGGCCCTGAGACCGAAAATGCAGGAAAAGCCTCTGCTTGTGAAGGCTGTCCAAACCAAAAAATATGTGCCACTGCGCCCAAGGGGCCTGATCCAGGTAAAATTATTTAACTTTCTGTCCGTTTTTGAGTATGTTATTTGCGGTAAATTTATCTTTTCCTTTGTTCAGACATACAACTCATCACGGAAAAGATGAGCACGGTAAAACATAAGATACTTATTTTATCGGGTAAAGGAGGAGTTGGTAAAAGCACATTCACGGCACAACTTGGGTTCGCTTTTGCCAGTGATGAAGATATCCAGGCATGCCAAAGATCATTGCATTCAGTCGAGCGCAAAAGATATTCTTTGTGAGATTGTGACAAATTTTTTGTTTGGTATTATAATATAGATCGGAGTAATGGATGTCGATGTTTGCGGACCCTCGATTCCAAAGATCATGGGATTAGAAGGAGAACAAATTCATCAGAGTTTGTCGGGATGGTCGCCAGTTTATGTTCAGGATAATTTGGGTGTCATGTCAATTGGATT